TCGGGATCACTGAACTGTATGAGATGAATGATCCTGAAGTCAATTGAAAAGTGACCCAGTGTAGCTAGATGGGTCACGGAGGTACGCAAACTATCGCACCACGTTGGGGTCCAGCCTCGTCCCGATGGACAGGATGGAGGCAACCGACACAATACTGATTACGGTATTACAATGTATATATACATATATATATATATTTATATTTATATATATGGTACAGGGGTTCTTTGTGAATGTCGGGACGACAAATGACTCACACCCAAGAGGTTGGAAGAGAGCTGGAGAGAAAGTTGTTAGCTGGTTGACAATTGTCACACCACCACGAATTGACATCTCCGTCTGAAGCGGAGGTGTTGGATTGTTTGGAGAGCAGGAGCCCAAGGTAGAAATCCGGTTCGGTGGTAAGGGGTTGCACCCCTCCACATCAGCAAAGTACTTCGGTGTCATGCCTAGCTATGATATATCGGTCACACCACATGAACTAAACGTTTACAGAAGTGAGGAGATAATCGTTCTACGCCTCTCGTCTGCGAGCTTCCTCTGTCTCCCATGATTGGATACTTATTTTGTCAATGTCTGTGTCCTTCCACACTAGACGTACTGCTCACCAGACATTTTCTGGTCTATTAAATAAGCATATCAGATTGATCTCCAGTTCGTCAGAACACTTATCGCGATGTAGCGATGCGTCGAATCTGACTTTTATTGATATACTTGTTGATTGGTTATAGCAAAAAAAGCAAAATCAACAGTACTGGCCGACACAAATCACCTCACTCACTGCGTATCGTCGGAATGTTTGTCAACCTCGTCAACCAGACAGAAATACTAGTCCACATATGCCTGTAGCATCGATACTGCGTACCGGCGTATTCCCGGTGCATGCTTTACCGTTTTTCAGTTGTTCCTTATATATGAAGCTAGAGTTGTACTTTTCACTTATTGTTCCGCATATTTGAATCGCATGCTGCTGTTGTGGTTGCATATTCACACCTTGTTCTGGGTGTATAGAGCACTTGACTTGAACAGCCGAAGGGATACGCGATTGGACATAGTGGGCATAAAGGACGGGCGGATAAAACCGATTGAATCGACAATAAAAGTGCTCAGTGCCCAGTGGTACACGTGTCTACACAAGTTAGTGATTTGTAAAGTGTCATGCTCGCAAATAACTTCACTGATGCCACATCTTCTGAAACCAGTGGTACGGAGGATCTGGAAGAGGTTGCGAAAGTGTCCAAAGAAAACTATGGTCTCTGTTTCTGAAGCACGTTGATACGATCAGGTTCAGTAATCATCACACAGGCTGTCTTCAAGGTGCCAGTTAAAGTTGTGGACTAATTTACTGTGACTCGAATCGGCCGCGACAGTTCCGTGATGACCAATTAATCCAAGCAAGCAAGCGGAAATCTATCCTTTCATACAACAAGCGATTCCACAGTGGCTGACCATAAAGACCATCGCTTTTTGCAAGAAACACTAGTGATCCTCGGCAATGTGAGGTGAAGCACTGGCAAACGCATCTAATAAGGAACATTGATGATTCAATCGAATGGAAAAGCTTGGTAGTACCGAGCGTACGGCACTTTAGTTCCGAGGGTCTCTTGAAGCATGTGCGAGATTCGCACAAACAAGACCGTGACTTCAATCGAGGTAAACGGACCAGACCAATCAATCAATCAATCTGCAGTCCCATATGGTGCCTCGCAATTTGCAGTTAATTGAAGTGTGATTCATATGTGACCATTCTCACATTAGTGAAAAAGGGCGAAAAGTAGCAGGACGTCTCCTAGTGTGCCTGAAGTTTGTGCTTAATAGAATCAGACGGTTAGCTTCAGATAGTGAGAAGTCATGCTCAGGTACACATACGCGTGAGGCTGACAACAAGTAAACATTAAATTATTAAGTAGCTAATTTCGCGCCCTCTGAAGCTAATTTTTGAGTACCATCTCGGTCAACGAAATCCCAATCATTAGCAAGCTCACCGAGGATTTGTGAAGAACCAAATCGAACATGTTATCAGTTAAAATGAATGCCTCTGGCACCTATTCTTACTCATGATACGCGCATAGTCAAATGTGAGATCAGATTTCTGGAATCGAATAAGGCCGCAGGAGCAGATAGACTTCTTCCAGCCATATTCAAATGCCGTGGATGATTTGCACAAATTACCTGTGAAGCTGAAGAAACAAGAGACTGCTCCAATAGACTAGAGCCGCTCCGTTATAGTCCTAATTTTCAAGGGAGGCTCACATTCAGAATGCCGTAACTGGAAGAATCGATCTTATCTCAATTGCTCCGAAGTTGCTTGCCTCTGTCATTATGCATAAAATGGAGGGCGCCCATGAAAGCCAGATTCGTCAGGAGCAAGCCGCGTTTTGTCGCAATAGAAGTTGTATTGACCACATATTCACTTACGTCAGTTGCAACAGCGCCATGTTTATTGGCGACCTACCGTAATCGTGAATATCGCCATCAAAGATGCTTTTGATTCGGTGGATCGATGTGCACTGCTTAGGAAAAGTGTGCCCGATAGATGTAAACACTAAAAGACCGCAGTACACGCATAGTTTGGGAACAGTAAGGGCTTATAGCAAACTGTCACTTTTCATCTTTAATTATGTCACTGAGGAAGTCTTGGAAACTGCGTTCGCTGTACACGACTTAGGTGTGGGGCTGCCTCCTGGTGAGTGTCTTCTTGACCTGGAGTATGCCGACGACATTGCCGTAATCTGATGCAGCTCCCAAACATGTCAAGCAGCAGCGGCTGTCAATCGTTTCGGGCTGCGCATTTCACCCTCAAAATGCAAAGCCTATCCCTAAGATTGGCAGGGACTGACCCCTAGACACTTGACGGCAATCAGCTAAAGTCGATCAGAAATTCACGTATCTCGACAGCTATATTAGCGTCTGTGGAATAGAATGTGAGGTTACGAATCGTAAAGCAGAAGATCGAGGCGCTTTTGCTACCGCCCGCCATCTGTCGCGCTGGCATGCCATCACTCCCACTATGAAAGGCAGGGTTTACAACGCAGCCGTGCATACAATCCTCCTAGACGGTTGCGAAACTTGGTCTACCAGATCGATAGATCCAAAAGGACTTGTTACGTTTGACCATTTGTGCCTTCGCAATTTAGCTTATGTCTAGTGGGAACACCAAATGAGTGTGTTCGACGACTCGTGCGAGTGAACCGCTCAGCACCAGGCTCCGATGGCTGGAACACGCGTTGTGCATGCTAGCACACCGACTCCCGCGACGCGCGTCGTTTGCGAAACCGGTCTGGATGGAAGATGGAGAAGGGATAATAGAAACATAAGCGGAGCACGTAGACTGTCTGCTACATGCAGATGTCATCAGCACCGGGGTGGTACGACCTTTGACCTTTCCGCCGAACTTGGGAATCGAGTGCGAATTGATCAGCCAGCGAATACAAGCCCGCGTCAAAAGAATCGAATTATTCCGTCAAAATGGTAAACCCGTGGAGCATAATTCACACTGGTTGAAAATCGGACGTAGAAGAGTGAGTAACGACCTCCAAAATTAGCATGTTTCGTTTACCAAAAATAGTGTTGATCTATCCTGTAGATATACTCTCTGTCTACCGAGTTATGGCTTTTGTATTCCTTCGGTTGACTGAGCGCAGACTGAGCAGTCAGATAGTCGTAGTCTCACAGGGCAGAAAAGCAGCAGTACAAGGGAGGCCAACCGATGACTTGGTCAAGGGGAATGCAAACCCTCGCTTCGAGGTTGTCGTCTCTCGACTGCCAGACCAGGATTCCAAGAATAATGAACACGTTCGGTTGGGTACACTTGTTGACATGATGAAGAGCTGACCTCAATGGCGTTTATGTCGTGAATTTCCTTGTCCCTTACCCTATCGCTCAGCTTCCCTCTTCAGCCAAGAGCAAACACTCAACGCATATGATAATATGCATTTTTGATACTTATTTTTTAGTTTATATTATATATTCGTTAATGTTTAGTATTTTGCGTTGTATATCCTATCTTTTTGTATTGTTGTACATCAGCTGAAATGTTTTCCACCGTTAGCTTACGTGCGGTAATGATGGTGATGAATGACCTCAAAGGAGAGGCACATGTAGGTCGCCGTGGATTCGAGAGAAACTCGGGACGATGATCCAGTGTTGTGCAGGTGGGGGTAATACCAGCCGGGTGTTTATATATATTCCACCGGCACAAATAGCACGAAGGCATGTCGGTGAACTTTACTGATCGGACTAGCGGATTCCGTGTGCGCAACATGTCACGTTTGGGGATAAAAAGACTAAGGCTGATAAATATGGGGTATGTGCTCGGTGGTTAAAATGACAAGGTACGATACAAAAAACACAGATGGTGATAGAGTATAGAAACATAGTACATGCAATAGCTTCTAAAATAAACGAGAGAAGTCTAAAACAAATGCGGCGCGAAAATATCCAGTGACTGGTGAAGAAAACACAAAAAGTTCATTGATGTCAAATTAGTACGACGACGAGATAATGATCGAGCACGGTGCATGATATACGACTAAGATGTACGTGGTTGACATCGTCGCTGTAGATCTGAGTCGGTGGTGTGTGAACATTGACGTTTAAAACGCACCGAAATTTCGGACAAAGATGACAAAATACAGGCTAGGTCAAATACTGCCACACATCCAGAAACATCCCAGACGACCGATCCGTTTCACTGGGAGCAGCGTATATCCCAACGAAAGTGGAACCTACGGATGTTCGCTTAAAGGAGCAGTTGTTTAGGTCGCTGAGACGGGGGTGGCTGCTACAGGCAGTCTTGACTTGTTCTTAGAATTGTAATGGCCCAGCCCGCACTGTATACAGCAATGCATGTTACTGCCGTTCACACGATGGGGTGATTTACTCTCTGAGCAACAATTTCCTCAGTTAGGTTGCAAATCCACCGATAGCATTCCAGGTCAGTATATAGGGTGATGCTTCCGAACAAACAGAGAGAAGAGACGCTATCCAAATCGACTTACTGGATAAAGTGCTGCAAATGACGGAGCAATAATTCTTGCGAAAACAGTGGGAGGAGATGCGTGTTGTACAAATCCATCCAATTTAGTGTGTGAACCTGAAGAAAAGCACAAACCGATACGATTCGAAACGGAACATTTTCCAATCAGTCATTGTTTACTCGAAGGTCATGAGAACACCGTAAAACTCACCGGTTTTGGATGCACAACCAGCTGACTGAATGCAGTATGTAACTGAATTGTTGAATCAATTGCAACACTGAGGAGGTTGGGAGTCACTCCGGAATAGATGAGAGGCATCTAAACGGAAGCGGCAATGTTATAGATGTGGTTGTTGTGCAAAAAGATAGAGGTAAATTGATCACTCAAAGAAATGGACCAAAGTGGTCGACATAGAACGGCGGTCAACCTACGGAGGTCGTACACAAATATCTTGTGTACCCCAATTTCCAATTGTGAGTAGTACGGTATAAACTCTATCCACGTACATCTTGTTTCGAACATATTAGATAATCTCTCTACATAATGGCAGACAATTAAACCTAATGTGTTAAAACAGCTCAAAAAGCATTGCGTTATCGCAAGTTAAATTAATTTTCCGTAACGAAAAATAGCGCTCTCAGCCCATGCTTGAATATTATGCAACCGGCAAATGATTTCACTTGCACTGAAAGATGCCTGAAATCATCTTCTTTTGGAGTCTGTGATTTGCACGTAATCTTCACTTAGTTCTTCTTCATCATCATCAGGCGATCGTTGTTTTCTTTCCGTTGGGGTGAACAGAAGCAGTACCACTTAAAAAATAGCATTTAGGTCTGGTTCAATAGAGCTTGACAAGTCATTCTTCACCACAATAAACTCTTGAAAATCTATTCTTTTGTATTCTACCAAGGGAGATGGAATATTTAGTAAAGTGACAGTGTCCTGCTCCAGAGTTTGAACGAATCTAGCTTTTAGAAGCACTTTAGTATTGTTCCTGGTTGAACCTTCTGTCAAGCGTAAGTTATTCAATACACAGCCTACAGGGCATTAATTGACGTAGCAAATAAAGTTCTTGCCATATTTATATCATTGGTATGCATTTATGCTAGAAGACACTGGATGACGTGGGCTCTGTACTGCGTTTTGAATACTTTTGTGATTCCTTAAGGACACATTGTGAACACCCATGCGCATAAACACTGAAAGGCGGGATAAGCATGCACACGCACATACAAAGACAGAGGACATGCTATGTCGTTAAACGTCCGCGGATCCGTAAACAGAAGTGATTATGGGTCAGAGGAATCTCACACATTACCAAATCCCACTACATACACATAATTTGAACAAAGGAGTCATTCGGAGACCGTTTCACAGTCGACCTTTACATAGCCAGGTTATAGAGATTAAATTAATAGTGAATGCTATGGCCAATCGGTCAACATACGACTTAGTGAGGTCTGATTCCATAGGGTTTACAAAGTAAATGTGCAAGCAATGAAAAAATGGTTTAAATTAGAGTGGTGGTTACGATCATAGAGGTGGTCAACTCTGGAGATTTCACTGTACTTCAGTGTCCACCAATGACTCCAAATGAGACCGGAACACTAGTTGAATATGTGCCAACAGGTTGAATAAGAACTTCAGAAATTGGTGGAGCCAGGTGAGGACGATGTTCGGGGACCAATTTCCGACGGGGTTGCAGGGGGGATAGCTGTTCGCGAGAGAAAAGAGACAACAACGTCGCGTGGGTGAATGACAAAAGCTGTTTCACCTACAGTAACAGACAGATCGGTCATCAATAATGAGTTGTTGTAGATACTATCAGGTCGCAAATGAACAGTCGAATAACATTTAGGAAACCATCATACAGTCGTCTGGTGAGTTCGGGGTTTGTTAGGTATGCAAAATTATTCGATTCCGATTTATCAATGCGGAGAGGAACAAACCACAAGGAACACGGAGGCTCGGTGGCACATGGTAATCTAGTCCCACTGGATAGTGCGTATTGATTTCACAAACCAATAGTAACTAATCATCCTGTATGATAGTCCGTTTACATATTCTCATGCTTGATCTGAATGGTTGGGGCAGCTATAAATTCGTTCACTCTCTCGACCGTGCAAGACAAACCACAAAGTCGAGTAGGACGAGAAAGGCGTGAAAAAGTCACCACTATTGTACTTCCCTTCAGACTAAATGGTGATGTTGTTGGTAGGATTAGTAAGTTGAAAATCTGAGAAAGAAATGACTTTTCCAAAGCCTCTACAATGAAGGCATTTGAGTGACTTTAAAATGTGACCACAAATTTGTTGCTCTAATTTTCATTTTAGCCAGCTAGGTTATCAAACTTCTGTTTTAATGGACGATTCCTCTAGCCTCGCATTTCAGGGCTCATTTTGCTTTTGGCTTTCAGAAAGAAGTATAAATGCTTGTCAAGTAATGTGCCAATGCATACACATATTTGGACTCCGCAACAGCCTAGTGAACAGAAATGCCCGCCTTGTGATTTGTACTTAATACCTCAAGTGCACACATATTGGATAATGTGGGGACAAGAAACTTATTTGTAAGATAAGATACAAAGTGAAATATGCACATAAAAACGATCCATTCTATATTTTGCATGTAGTTTTACAGTGACAGATCTCCTTAATACAATCTTAAATCGTAGCCTTAACTGGAAGTGTGCGCTTCGATCAAAAACAAACCAAGGGCAGTTCAAAATAAATTCAGAACCACAATGATGACAGGTGTTTGAAGAGTGCGGTGGTCGTGTTGAAAGCTTTAGCAAAAAGCAACAACAACCCCGGTTCGGTTCTCAGCTGTGACGGTTCTTATCTGGATTCCAAACGAAGGCCAAACGGAGGGAGGGGGAACAAAAGTAAAATGTCCATGCGACCAAACGGTTGTAGATATTGCGATCGTAGTTGTAAATCGCGGAGAGATTAACTCGAAAGGCGACGCTATTAAAGTGGGCTTAGGGAATCGTGGCACTGTGAAAAGTGAACGGATGCAGAGGGGTCAGTCTGATTCATAGCTATCAGCGTCAAAGTAAAGCAAATCAAACAAGCACTGGACAAAATAGGCACTCCGGATGCCAATTTCGTCCCTGTGAATGGACGAAGTGCAAATCCGATTTAGATGAAAGCAGTGACTGAAGGTTGAAGAATGCAAACTATGAGAAAAGCGAACCAAGGTAAGTAGGCGAATTATGTTAAGGAGACTCGGTTAAAAATGACAAGCAGGATAAAGTATAACCAGTTAGCATTGTGACTCGTGCATACGAACCTCGGTAGCTTGACAAAGACGCTCAATGCGCAGCAAGCAAAGCGGTTCCATGAAGAAAGGAGTGGAAGAAGTAGTAAGCTGGAATCGGAGACAGGCTGAGGACATTTTGGGACGCCGATGAGGAATGCGTGTGAGTAGATGGTCCATGCTCGTTCGTATGCAGTTAGCAAGGAGGGGAACGAATTCCTACAAAGAACGGAGAATACTAGTAAATGAATGCAAAAGGGGTGACAAAATAGGTTAACAAACCATGCGCCGCTACTGGTGAACTAGCCCGCATAGGTTACTAACATGCCACAAAGATTTCTAAAGATAATATTGCTTTATACAACTACTTGATAGGGAAGGTTTCGGTGTTGCTTTCTCCCACCAATAATCTCTGTAAGCGTTAAAAACGCTTGTGAATTAAAGCAACGCGTGTCCCGCCGGGAAATCAACACAAACCAAAACCTGAACTGATATAACGGTGCTACTGAACAAAATAAACATATGAAAAGCGATCAACACTTCAACTATTCCCAAACTCAAATGCAGCAACAGGTCTTTCAATACAAAACAATCTGGGCCAACTCCCGAAGCCGATCCGGGAACCAAAGTACAATCAAGTGATCTCAGCAGAGCATAGTGAAATACGTAAAAATGTACAAACAGGTCGTGCAGTCTAACCAATGGAATACGTGGGCGCTGGCCAAAGCGGCTCTACTTCGATCAATGCAAGATTGTTTGCCTGTCAGGAGCACGACACAAGAATGGGCGTACAAGTGAGTAGGTGATGTCAAGGTCAGTCGAAGTGAAACGTGACTGAATGAGTGTAGGTACAGAGAGACGGTGGCGGGACAGAACAGGGAGTGATGCCGCTGACAGGAAGGAGGCGGAATTCGGACATGGAGGAAGCAGGGGTAGTGAAACGCCACACCAGGCAGTGCCGGTGACGAACCGAGTTCATACATGGGTTGGGCATGCGTAAATTTTTGGGTAGACAGGAAACTCCGATTACACCCAACAAGAGGCATTCTCAACCTGTATTCCGTCGTGGCCCCCTTTTGTAACTTGCCATTTCTCATGGCCCCCACCAGTGATCACCACAGTTGCAGCAATCCGCAACGCATAATAGACGTAGTGATATTGGTATCTTTTGCTACGATGGCTAAATTTTTAATGGTGGTATCACTGTCCTATTTTCGAACTCAAGATAACATTTGTTGTCCGGAACAATCAATCCACATGGCTGTACTTACACGCAAGTCATCATTAGTAGTTAATACTGCCTTCAATTACTGTTAGCTTTTAACTGTAGAATGTGTGATGAATCCAGCTATATAGTAACGTCTTAGCAATTTTTCTGTCGGAATATTAATGCGAACTTAAGCCTGATATCGCTGAACAAGCTTGCCTATGTTCGGCTCCAGACTTGGCAAGGAGTCGCAATATCTCCTATTGCTGAGATGTCCACTCTGTTTCTCTTTGTTGCTAGCGAAACCCGTCTGCTGAAACCAAATTCAAACAACTATGCGGATGCAAAAGCGAAGAAGATATTTCAGCTATTTCCCATAGTCTGGGATATTTGTTAAAGGCATCAACCTTTATCCAAAAATCCTTTTATATTGCGTGAATTTGTATCTTACTAGTGTCACTTTTCTGGATTTTAACTAACGCAACGCTGTACATCAAATGGATCTAAAATTTAAATCGGGATTTCCATGTCAATCAGGCCATGAAACCTGTTGTTGATTTTTTCGTAGTTGTTGTAAGTGACTGGTATAAACGAGTAGGTCTTCATCCTTCAGTGAATGCAGCGATAAATGGGAACTGAAAATTCCTGACGTTTCGAGCGATAATGGCTCCTTTGCTCGAGAAGAGATTACTCAACCTGCTTTGAAGGATTTTCGTAAATAAGTTGAATTTTTCACAAACATCAGCCAGATAAGACATGTCCGGCCTAGATGTTAAGTTTCTTTCATAATCAATTCCAGAAAGGAATGCGATGATGGTGTCCCAAAGTACAGCAAAATAGCGAAGGCAGTTGCTCTGTATGCAACACTAAAACCTGGGAATCTTCACCGTCCTCCTCCCATTGCTGAAGGAGAGGATCTCGAAGACGGCTCGATTTGGTAGTGACTACATCTGTTCTAAATTCGTTGCATCGTTCCCCAAATGTTTGCATCGGTCACGCTTGAAGCTGCATCACGTGCGTCATGTGTCACATGGCACCTGTACACTCGTATGAGTCATACTCATGGACTGAGTTCGCGACGTGAGAACACGTGATCACCTTGCCACCGACTACACTGGTACGGTGAATAACGTGGCGGTGAAGTCAACTCATAGGCACGCCAAGTTGAGTGGAATCGTGCAGTTAGTGCAACAGCTTGCTCTGCTCCGAATGTCACAAAAGGGCACTCGTACGCGGCACTCGGTGGTGAGAAATATAATACTTACGATTTACGAAGAGGAACGCGACTGGAAGCATATTGCATACATACTGAAAGTAAACCTGACTAGCTGTCGCAGTTGGATAAAAAGTTGGAATCAACTGGACAAACAGAAAAGCTTGTTGAGGGACGCCGAAGGTCTCTGACAGAGAGCCAGATTGATTACCACAGTCCCTCGACAAACACTAGGTCTGCGGATGAAGGCGGAGTTCAACATTGACGTAAGCGTGAGCGCAATTGAATGATACTGAGATGGACGGCTAATTACCATGAAGAAATTGCAAGCAGTTCCGGAAGCAGCCAACAAACATGAGGAAAATGCGAAGGAAAGCCTACGTTTTGGCACTGCTACAATCTGAGGCCGAAGGGATGCAAGCGGTGTGGATAAATGAAACCAATTGCAATCTTTTGTTCTCGCATCATAGGGCGTTCACCGCAGGGAACACCAGCGCAATGTGCAGTGCCCAACAGTCGAGGTCAAAACCTGCATCTGATTGGAGCGTTGATGAGCGGTGGATTAGTAGACTATACCATTATGAGAGGAAGCTTCCATGAGGACAGGTGCACGGCCTGTTTGCGTCGACTGCTGATTAACAGAGGCTCGACTTTTATCGAAAACCGCCTCCTGATCTGTGATAACGCGCCATGCCACACGAAGTTGGAACGCGTATTCCAGTAGGAACCGTACCGTTCGGGCAGCCTCCGGCGTTTGGCGCCATCACTGTATCCCATTGAGGAATCTGGGGCATAATAAAAGCTTTTGGGAAGCAAACCATGAGGAGGTAATATTTCGAGATGTTTCAGTGAGATTGTGAGGGTGTACTACGCAAGTGCGAATGGAGAAGGCGCTGCTTGGAGCGAATTGTACCTGGGGCACAAACCTGCGTTATGCTCCAGCACTGCCATCAAATGATCGATCATGTAAGAAAGAATTACGCTCGTGCTATGCATTGCATAGGTTCGTAAATCTCTTTTTCTGCTGACAGAAACGTTCATGGTTTGAAAAAGTGTCATCACTTATATATATCGCTAGTTCATAGGCTCGACATTCAGATTAAATGATGGGGCAAGCAGTTTGCGTATGCTCCCGCTGTGGCGTTGCGAGACAATCATAAGGTATTCTTATAGTTCAAAAGAGACGGGACGGCAACTGCTGTGGTGTAGTGGTGAGAAACCTGAATGTCGGTCGATAAGTGGTATTTCATTACACAATCCGGAATGTAAACGCATTGCTATGAAGGCTGACCACGCGCCTGCGGAGACTTACGTCTAAGGTTCGAGCGGCAGGTAATCGGGTTTACCTTCAGTATATGAGCAATATGCTTCCAGTCGCGTTCCTTTTCATAAACCGTAATTATTACATTTTTCACCTCGTCGAGTACCGCGTACGTGCCTTTATGTGATTTACGGAGCAGAACAAGCTGTTGCACTAACTGCACGATTCCACTCAACTTGGCGTGCCTATGAGTTGACTTCACCGCCACGTTATTCACCGTACCAGTGTAGTCGGTGGCAAGGTGATCACGTGTTCTCACGTCGCGAACTCAGTCCACGAGTATGACTCATACGAGTGCACAGGTGCCATGTGACACATGACGCACGTGATGCAGCTTCAAGCGTGAACGATGCAAACATTTGGGGAGCGATGCAATGAATTGAAAAAGGGTTTAGTATTATAACGGCAGTAAATCGTTTAAGCGCCCTCCTAAATTCTGAGCTATTATGTGCTCTAGATGAATCACAGTGAATCGGGTGAACAGAAGGGATAACATTTTTTGGATGGGCAATAGCTCCTTTATATCTTCCGACCATTGCGATAGCACTATCTGTTGTACATGCAAGTACGTTCAGCGTTGGAATGGAGTTTACAGTCAAACAGTTATTGAATGACTCAAATATAAACTGGCCTTTCGTATGTGTTTCAATTCGCCCGGCAAACAGCAACTCTTCCACTAATACGTCGTCATTGAATAATTGGGCACAGCTTGAGAAGACGTTGATTAGGTAGTCGTAGATTCACCTAATCGTAACGAAAATTTGCTGGACTGTAGTAAAGTAACTAAGATACTTTCTATGTCCTGAGCCATCTCAGCTATCCGACTAAATGTAGTTGAGCTGCTGAGCGGTATGCCTTGAACTGCTTCTTGTGGATTGATATGCATCAGGTTCGACAGCATTATTGATACCAAATGTAAGATAACATTTTCTCCAAAATTAATTGGGATGCAATTTTTGGCAATCCACTTGCTGATTTTATGTCTTATGTCAATTTGCCATTTCTTGTCCTATCAGAAACCATTGTCTTCAAAGTTGGTCCATCTTCGATAACATTTCCGAAAAGTTTCCGCCTTCGTCCTTATGAGCACTTTTTAAAGAATTTCTCAGTTTACTTGGTCTCATGCTTTCATTTGAAAGTGTATTGGTAAATTAAACACGTAGGTAGTGGGGTTTTGAAATGATCGATAAATCCAAATGACAGGTATTCCGCAAAGTACTGCCGACACTACTTCTTTGCGAGGAGATCATTCTGAAATCTGTCATCGTAAACTGTTACTGCGTAGTCTACATACACTGGTTTTGTGTTAGTTCGCTTACTCAGTGACGTCATGGTTATTAAATAACGTCATTCGACAAGGCGAAACACGCAGTTAGTGTGAATGACTGGTAGCATTAAATGTGTTCTTGCTTGACCGTGAGAAAAGACGTTTGACAAGCATACTAGTAACATCTGTTGGTGATTACAATGTTAAAATG